ATCAATATAAATATAAATATAATTAATTATATTTATATAATATAATTTATATAATATAAATATTATAAGATTTATATAAATATAATTTATTATATTTATATAATTATATTTATATTGATTATTCTTTATTGTATTAATTATTAGTCCATGTCCACAATATTAATTGTACAATACCAATTATGCACGAAATTAATTATTGCTTCGATGTAATTATATATTATTACATTAGGGCATTCCAGATATCTGTGTTATTAATTAATTTTTTCTCTCGTTCGTGCTCGTTTTTCGTATTTAAAATTACCATCGAACGATAACTGACTTTCTTTTACTCTCCGCAGTTCTATAGAACATTTTTCATTTTCTTTTTAGAATAGCCAGCTTAAATCGAACAAAAAGTAATTATATATGATTATATATGATTTTTGTCTCGATATATACAAACACACGTATTACATGACTATACATGAGAAAAATTTATATACATGATTATTTACGATAATATATAATTTATGTACAATTCTGTATGTATTGATTTTATATAATTATACTGGAAGTCCGGGATCTTTCGGAAACGAAAATTTGTGAAGATTAATCAGATCAAACTGAAAAGAAGGGTCATGTACCATTTTGCAAAAATCGCAATAGTTATTAAATTATTAATGATTGAAAAACCATAACCATATTTAGAAGTATTTTTTAATAGATAGCTTGAAAATTTGCGTATTTATCTGCAAAATGGTAATAGAGGACCTTTTTGTTTGGAATGACTTACGTAATCTACTCGTAATCTACAATTACATGACGGCCATTGTCTCTAGCGATAGATATTAATACATTGAAGTTTGAACCCTGAATTTTGAATCTGTCGCTAGACACAATAGCCATCATATAATTATAGATGAGGTCATTCTTAACAAAAAGGTCCTTTACCATTTTGCAAATAAATACGCCAATTTTCAAGTTATCAATTAAAAGAGCCTCTAACAAGTGTGGTCATTTTCAATCATCAATCATCAATAAATATTGTGATTTTCGCAAAATGGTACATGACTTTTCTTCTCAGTTTGGTCTCATTAATCTTCACAATTTTTCGCCTTCGAGGAGATCTCGGACACCCTGTATATAATCTTTTCCGATCGACACACAGAAACGTCGGAGCGTCTGACTCGAAATTACGAGTGAGATTTTAGCCAACGAGATTTTAGCTGTTCCCAAACTTGTGTTCCGCGTACTTGCGAGTGCGCCGCGAGGAAAGCATGCAATTAATATCCATATCGGTCACAATGCTTCTCGGTTTGAAGAACTTACCCGTCGGGAAGAAGATTGGGTCACGTAGAGCGCCGTTGCATAAGCTCGCATTCAAGTTTAATATTGGCGTAAAGATCGCCGTCTCTCCATTGCCGGCACCGAACGGACTGTTGCATAAACCCACGTAATTCATACTCGTTACTGCAGGATGTAACGGTAACAAGACATATATATACGCTATATCGAGAGAAACGCGTTCTCACGCTACGCACCACATCGCTTTCGCGATACAAGAGAAATGTAGAACCGACGGTTTTTCATCCCCAATCCTCCCCGGCTGATTTTGGACGTTGCGAGCGATGGATTGCGAGGCGGCTCGAAATTATTTTAAAACACGCGCAATTCTTTCATACGAGAGTCCCGAGACGCTCCGTTTATTCTTGAGCCGTGAAAAATATTTAGACTAAAGAATATTTATTCGGTGAATGTTAATAATGTATTTAGTTATGTATATATATTTTTTAACATTAAGAAAACATTTTTTCAAACGAGATTTTTTCTTAAAACCGTAGCATTTCGTGAAAATACAAGCAATTGTTTATTCCAATATTTAAGTGAAAGACTCTTAGTTAAGCAAATATGTCACCAGTGCCTACCAATCAAATATTTTTTATTTGTTAGATATTTTTTCTTAGCTTACGGACAAAGAGGAGCTTGCAGGACACTTCTGGAAATTCTTCTTCGAGGATTTATACTTCCCGATGAAGTTGCTTGACATTTCATCTTGCATTTTCAATAAAGGTAGTATTGTTTGATAAATTCGAAACTTTGCATAATTCAACGCTTCGAAGCATCGAGTCTTCAAACTCTACTCGAAAATTCGAAATGTCGGAGCTCTTGGTAGAACTAGTCTTGAAAAGTGCAACAAAATACATTCGAGTTCTCGAAATTCAATGCGTACGTTTTCAAACGCTTATATAACTTGAATGTTCATCACACTTCGGTGTGTCCTTATTCGAATATAACGCCTCCCACTTTCAAAGCTTGTCGAAGAATCAAAGAAGCTTCGAACATAATTCGCCGATTGATTTGGGCGGTGCGATTAAAGCACGATTAAAGAGGGCATTTGTCGCGCCGAGAAATAAAATGGCAGCCGTTCCATGGCCTTGCTATACAACACAATACACATTAGCGCGCTTTGAGCGCTTTTAATTTCTCGGCAGAAAGCTCAATTGGCCTCCCGCGTTCCATCGAGCATTCTAATTAACAGTAGCGCTTTAATTATCCCGATATGCGGCAATAAAGCGGAAGCATCTTTCCGCGCTGCCGTATCTGCCGTTTACGAGATGGCTCTCCGAGATAATTAACGAAGAGATAATTGAATCTTCGAAATGACGCGAGCGAGCGGTAATAATTTGTGGTCGCCTGTGACGTTTTGTTTGTTTACATATTTGCTGACGCATTGTTTCGAATTACCATTTCATCGAAAACGCATCGTTCTCTATTGACAAAACACGCTATCGCGCGCGGGGAATTCGCGAGATTGCAAATATGGATTCGCGGACGATGAGAGAGATTTTCCGGGAAGTGGAAGAATCAACAAAATCATATTTCCCATGCAACTTCGAGGCAGCTTGCGTCTCGACGCGATCTAAATTTGAGGCGCAATTACAAGGATATGCGTTATCAAAAGTTAGGAAAACGCGATTAATAAGAGACGGTCCACGATATTTCTGCCGGGATGAAGAAGTGTCCTCGAAGTGGCCGAAGAAAAAAAAGAATGCGATTAACATTTTTGATAGTCGCTGTCGCGACTTTATCCTGCCAGCGGCTGTTTCATGAGGAGAAACATTTCTCGAGTAACGAGTAAAATATAAAGAAATTCTGGTTGCAGAATGATCGGAATTCGGTCTGAAATATCGGATTTCTAATTAATTTAAACAGGATTCTGCAGTATATCTTCAATCGGAATTTCTGAATCGCTCAAATTTCATTCAAATACTTATTCAATCCAACATTTCAAAATAAATGTTTTTCCGTAAGTTGGAAACTTGATGATTAATACAATACGAAAGAACATAAAGACAAACCATAAATATTTAACGAGTGTTAAATATTTGTAAATATAACATAACTTTGAAGCTATTACGAAAGGATATTGATCGAATTCTAACTTAATGTTTATATACAAAATAAATACGTATAAAGAAACATTTGTTACTCGCATTTTAACTCGCGTTCTATCGTTTAATAAATAGAGATTTTTGCGAAAGATTCAAGATCGACATTTTCATAGTCGGGTATAACTTTGTTCAATAATAACAATTAATTGCTTTTTTGATGACACATCACCGAAAGAAAAATAAAAAGAAATAAAATGATGTATTTGATTGTGAGGTTATCAACTTGGAGTCTTATAAAAATTCCCTCAAATTTCTCTAGCAACCCAATATAATAATTTCGGCTTTGGTTGCCTAGGTTACACATTTGCATAAAAATAGCATAATGCAGCAGTAAATTTCTCGGAAACTATATGATCAACGATCTCTTCATCTCTTTTTATAATATTTCTACGAGTCTCTTTTATTGCCTTTTCGGTTTCCTAATAATAAGAGTAATTAAATCGTTGAAATTAAAAACATAATACCGGCATATATTTCGTTCACGTGATACGTGTAATTTTAATTTCAAAAAATAATATGTCTAGAAAAGATTTTACATAACAGATGACGTAAAGAGTCTGTAAAAGTCTGTAAAAGTCTGTGTGTGCATGAATTTTAGTGTAAAAATTGACGTTATGAGATCTACTTATATAAATTCCGATAGACTTCATATCCTCTCTTTGATTTCAATTATCCCAATTTCGGTGTAATGAACCTTTTTTTTTCTAATTATACATACAGTTATCTTCATCGTTATCTGGATAAAATTATAGATGATCATCCATAGAGATGAAGCTATGCATCCCGTTTCTTTTTATCTAGATAATATAAATACATCTTTATCTGTGTGCATTTTAAATTGAAACATTTTTACACAATTTATCTACAAATAATTTAGTCTACATCGCAGCGAACGTGTAAAACATCGAAATATTTGTCTCTGCGTCGCAGACGTTTGCGTTAGTACCGCATGCGTCGGGCGGCATTGAGACTGAGATTGCACGAGATTCGTCTATAATCAGGGCACAGAGGAAAATTTACGTATCTCATCTCATCTTTATCTAATTTAAAACAATCATCTAAATACAACGCTGCGTCCACGCGTGTATATAGATATCATGCGCATAGACATGACTGTTGATATCAAGTTCAACATTTCAAAAGATTCCCGAGAAAATGGATCTCTTTCGGACCAAACGGCTCAATTCCAAACGGAACAGTGCTGAGAAGCAGCAGCGCACGCGAGAGACAGAAATGAAAACGAGCCGAGGGAGAAAAAGGCGGACAAATAACGCCGAAGGAGCGATTATTGTCAGAGACCGAGCGGCGCGCAGACTGAAACGCGCGCGATGCGATCGCTCGGCGCGTAATCGCGTTTCGATACCGCTGCGACGCGGTCACGCGCGCGCGCGCGCAATTGAAAAAGAGTTCGGTCTAAATAATGTAGGAGTATCTCCGGTGGTGTAAAGAGGTCAAAGTCATTGCGTTTCATTGATCAGCGGTAGGCGACGAAATGTCTATTCAACAGGTTGTTAACTACTTAAATCTAGCGGCAGCCCCTTCTTGCCGCTCTTCTCTGCGGCCGGTAGATACCGGCCGCGCTTCTCACATAGTCAGTGTCAACTCGACGACGGCTCGCACTTCAGCTCGCGCGATGCGGCCACCTCGTGTCATCTGCACGGCGCTTGTTCTTCTCCTCGGCGGCGCGGCGTCGTATGTGAGCGGCACGCCGGAAAGTAAGTGATCCGACACAGAAAGAGAGAGAGAGAGAGTGAGTGAGAGAGAGAGAGAGAGAGAGAGAGAGAGAGAGAGAGAGAGAGAGAGAGAGAGACAAAGAGAGAAGGAAGAGAGCGACAGGGCGGAAAAGCTCCGCGAGGCGGTCAATTCGCGGCTGCGAGTTTGCGACTCGTCCCCTCCCCCTTGCCCCTCGACGAGATGCTAAAAGACAAGTGCCGAGGGCGCGGAAGGAAAATTCACGGTGGTTCAAAGGGGCGGCGGTGCGGGCGGCGATGGCGATAGAAAGTCCGAGAATGAATCGCTTTTCACGCGGAGAGACGCGAAGAGCGGCGCGCGTCCGGGGGCGAAAAAGTGGATGGGGAAGGAAACGCCTTTGTAACGTGGGCGTGGGAGGGGGGGAGGAGGGGAAGGTCAGGCTAGAAGTTCAAAAGGGATGCGGGAACGACTCCTTCGGGGCGGCGCTATATCCACGGGATAATTAACGCCGCTGCATTTTTACGAATGCGCCGGGCCCGGGCGTGCGACATCGTCGTTAACACGTCCGCTCGCTCGCCGAGACTCATTTTGAGCCGCTTTCCCCGCTTTCCCCGCCGGTTTTTTTACTTCGTTCTTTCTTTACTTTTCTACTTTTTTCTTCATCGCGCAGAGCGGATTTAGTTCGGTACCGCGGACGTGGTAGGAAAATAGTTATATTTTTCGCGCTCCCGCAGTATATAGAAAAAAATGTATATTTCTTTTTGACGTCGCACATGTGTGTGACGTTAGTGAGGAGAGTGTTAAATTTCTCGGTGGCTTCTCCGAGATCACCCCGGGCGGCAGGACACCAAGAGTGAATGTAAACAGAGGGTGCCCTACCCGGGCAATTTCCCGGGCGTTGACAGTGTTCAGGGAGGTCGCGTAAATTTTCGTAATTTTCGCGCGGCTCGATCTCGCGAATTTTTGCGCGAAGATACGCGAAGGAGGGAAGAGACTGCTCGACTCGGAGTAAATGAACGAAGAAAACGGAAAACTCGGTTCAGCTGAGGAGAACCGAACTTTCGGCCCTCTCAAGACGACCGAATTTGGCACGTAAGATAGTTTCGTTCGTTCGCGCCCGAGTCACCCGAGTCTCTTTCCGCCGAGTGGGATTGTGTTTTTCCACGGTTATTTATTTACCTACACGTTTATTATCCTCCCCCTTTTTGCGTTTCTGTCTGTCGCGCACACGCCGCCGCGATCTCGAAATCTGAATTCACTCGAATCACGCGCGGAGGAGATACAGATCGCAGAGCGCAATCGAGTATTCCTTGTCGACGGACGTTCGCGCTTCCTTATTTATCAGCGACTGCAGATTGTCGTCATTTATCCACTTGTACCGTCATTCAAAGCAAATCAACTGAGATGAATGAGTCCCAGTATTTCAGAATATACACGCAATCAACAGTGTGCTTACGTATCTACAAAATAACAATGGCGAATTAAACAATGGCGCTCACCTCGCACCTCGGATTTGCTCGCGTTCAGCCGTGTTCTCTCGCAATCTCGCAAGTTAAATAAATAAAGTCGACTCCACACAACTTAACCGCAACGACGAATCTCTTGGAGAATTTGCAATTAATTTTCCCCCGGAGAATACGTTGAAATGTATCAACACGATTTCCGATCTATCGACCGATAAAAGAAAGAAACTTCGATCGAAACTAAATTTTGGAGGAATGCAAGATGGCGATATAATATCCGGTATAAATTGTGTATAATATTATGGAAATTTTAACAAATCGGAGACGGTTTTTTTCGCGAGATAGATTTTCCCGTCTAGAGGATAAAGCAATTTTAAGCTCGTCGGCAAATCCGTCATTAAAATGGCGAATTACGGGATTGTGGCGGTGTTTGTTATATGGCTTCAAATTTCGGGTAAGTAAGAATGACGTGAATTCAGTCGTATAATTAAGAGGAACTACGATGCTTTTGTACGATGTTATTATGGTAATCTGCCGTGTCAGCCGTGAGATCGTTTCGCGAGCGATAAACGGCGGGCGAGGCGCGAGTCGTTGTACTTCACGTGTAGGTCGTTGTAATTAATAAGATTATAGCTTCCGACTTTGTCCCTCGGTGATTTACAGAGTCCCCTATGTGGAACGAAACCTGGACCGATCGGCTGAAGCAAGATCTGTTCGTAAAATACGACAAGTTCTCCCGGCCGATGCAGCACTACAACACCACAGTGGTCAACTTCGACATTACGATTCTTCATGTCGACGTGGCAAGTATGCGATACGTCGGACGTCGCACGAAGAATTTACGCGAATCTACAATCGGCCCTCTCTCTCTTCGTTTTTCAGGATGAATTCAAGTCTTCTGTCACCATCAACGGATGGGCCTCCCACGTGAGTGTGTACTTCATCACATCGCTATATTTTACGCGTAATCTCCTCAACAGGACGACGCTTCATTTCTACACGCTACTGACACGGAGCGATATATTCGCGCGAAAATGAAATGTTTGTCAAATTTACGCAGCGTTTTCGGCTAAATGCTATTGCTCTCGACGAAATAATTATGTACATACAGGGTGTCCGGGATCCTTTCGGGAAACGAGAAATTGCGAGGATCAATTGGATCAAACTGGGAAGAAAGGTCCTTTACCATTTTGCAAATAAGTACGCAAATTTTCAAAGTTATCAATTAAAAGAGCCTCTAGATGCGATCATTTTCAATTATTAATGACTTCATAACTATCGCGATTTTTGTAAAATGGTAACTTGACTTTACTTCTCAATTTAATCTGATCTTAATTAATTAATCCCAATTAATTAATTAGTTACACTTCACAACACTTTTTCGTTTCCAAAAGATCCCGGACACCCTGTGTATGTACATACAGGCTGACACCGAAAAGGACGGCCAAACTTGGGTAGCGTATTCTACTCTTCCTGAGGATGAAGAAAGGTTGTATAAATATAAATCCGAAAACTCTTCCTTTCCGAGGTATAAACACTTTGTTGCTTATGACTGAATATTGTAGGAATGCTTGAAGCTTAGTTAACACGCATGCTGTTAACCGATCCCAACACCAACGCCAGTTTTCATGCAACATGTGGGCTGGGCTTATTGGACCAATTTTTCTTCCGTTTTCTTCCGTCACTCAACGGCAGAAATGATACACCATTTTTGGAAACCGAACTCTCTACACTACTGCAAGATGTACCATTGGCAACACGCAACACGCAACACGCACTCGAATGTAGTTTACGCATGACGGAGCTCCGGCCTACTTTAGTCGAACTGCTGGAGAATATCTTAATAACAATTACACCAATCGGTGGATTGGCAGAGGAGGACCAATTGCCTGGCCTGCATGCTTCTCTCACTTAACTTCTTTATGTTTTTATTTGTGAGGACATGTTGAAAGTTTAGTCTATAATAACCATACCATTGCTAGCCTGAAAACACTAAAAAGTCGGATTATTGCCGCATGTGACAAAATTCGGAATGCACCGGGAATTTTTGAACGTCTTCGACAGTCTCTGCAACGTCGATGTGAAGCGTGCATTATTCCCGAAGGAAATCATTTCCAGCCATTCTTTGAAGTAAGCCTTTAAACATTCCTATATTCGATCATGAAAGAAAAAAATATTTATATCTCGGAAAGGAAGAGTTTCCGGATTTATGTTTCTATGACCTCTTTTCATCCTTAGGAAGAGTAGAATACGGTACCGAAATTTGGCCACCTTTTTCGGTGTCACCCTGTATATATATATGATTATATATGATCCCCAAATAAATTTGCTACTATATAATTATATATATATATATATATAATCATATACAATTCACATCATTTTCTCTCGAAGATATACATTGCATTGATACAGAAATATTAAAATAAGTTTCTTCTTTCTTCTCTTCCTCTCCCTCCATCAGTCTGCATCTCTCCTTCACGAAGATACGCGATATGCAATATAATAACATCATTATCGATCATCCTGCTAACTACCCTCGACGATCGCGTCTCCATATGCGACTACTAACTGCGACGTTCAATATTCATTTGTTATCGCCGTTACCGTTATCGTTATCTTCCATTATAACATCCAGGCGTGGATAGACGAGAAGCTCAAGTGGGACCCCGCCAAGTACGGCAACCTCCACCACATTCATGTAGGCAACCACGAAGTGTGGCAACCGGACATCATGTTGTACCACAGGTATGCACAGTATTCTCTCTCTCTCTCTCTCTCTCTCTCTCTCTCTCTCTCTCTTCATCTTTCTCCTTTCCTCTGGCCGTTGTTTTCTCGCTGGATCGCGAGTCCTTCTGAAATAATCCCGCACCGATACATTTTTCTTCGATCTTTTGTTTCATTCAGCGGCACCGCGAGCACCATTGAGCATTACGGCGACACGGCTTGCATCATCTACCACGACGGGCGGGTGCTGTGGGTGCCGCCCGCGCAATTCGTCGGCCTCTGCGAGCTGGATCTTCACCTGTGGCCTTTCGACACGCAGATTTGCACCATGACGTTCGGCTCTTGGACGTACCACGGCGAGCAGATCGATATGCGTTTCAGCGAGTCCCAAGTCACCGTATGAAAAAATGATTTTGCATACGCGCGGCCGCGCTGTGAAGTGCTTCTTCTTTTTCCTGTTTCTTTCCTCAGGGTTGAGAGAAGTGACGCGTTACCGTTACTCGTTGCCTCGTTGAAAAGAAGTAACCTCTCGCCGTTGCTCGATACGCCGTTGGCGTTGGTCGAGAAGCAATGGATCGTTAAGTTCCCGCTGCATATTTCACTAAGTCTTCAAGACCTTTCTGCAGGATTAGCTTCTGCCCGTTTTATATAGTACAGTGTGTGTATGTGTGTATATTCCATATATGCAAAGTAACGGTGAAGATAACGAGTATACGAGTATTACCGTAAATCAAGAACTTCAACCGCGTCACCGTTATCATTACCGTTCAATCAACGAGAGAGGAAAGGCGTCGTCGCCAAGTCGTTGCTGAACAAAAGCTGAACCAACGACAAGTCAGTCGTCAAGTAACGCGTCACTTTCCAACCCTGAAGTCTTCGTATTCGCGTACTTTCTTCCACGCTCGCTTTTCCTCGGTAAGGCGCGAGTCTTTCCGCTCGATTGCACGACAAGTCACACTGAAAGTGGAAACGCAGCTAAAATGAGATTTCGTTTCACCGGGTCCGCCATATTACTCGGCGACGCCATCGAAACACGGTGGCGATTTTGACAACAGGAGGACCTGCACGTGAAGAACGCGGAGTGGAAGATGGTCGACTTGACGAAGACGCGCAAGGCGGTGAATTACGCTTGCTGCCCGGACCCGTACATCAATCTGAATTTCAAGATGACCTTAAAAAGAAACGCCGCGCTCTACTGCAGCGTACTGCTGATGCCCGCCGCTGGTGCGTAACCGGCGCAATTATTTTTTATTTAGCATCAGCCCTCGCGCGACACCGGCGAGATTAGTTTCAAATCCGAAGTTACCGCAATTTCTACCGCTCCCCCGCTCTCCGTGTGTCGCCGCGCTCTTAATTTAATTTGGTCCAACGCGTTCACGCGACGTGAACTTTCAGCCATAGTCTTCCTGGTTCTGGTCACGTTCTGGCTACCGCCTCAAAGCGAGATGAAGATCAGCATCGCGGCCTGTACTATATTAATCATCACCGTGTTTTTAGCCTACTTTGGCCTCAAGGTGCCATTAACGGCGAACCCACCGCTCATAGGTAATGTTGATCCCTATAAAGTTCCCGCGTGAAACTTTCACGTTGAACAGTCATCGCGAACAACGTTTTGCACGTTATTGTGATGCACGACGACTCTGCCGTGATTTTTAAACGCGACAAACGTATCTCGTTTGTCTCTCGTTTGTCTATTTACTTACACGCGGACACTTCGTCCGCTTTTGCAGTTTACTTTTACAGCGGCTGCCTCTGCTTAGTGACGATTTCCTTGGTACTGTCGATACTGGTGATCAACATCACGAAGAGAACTTTCTGCAAACCACTCCCACGAAATATCAGACTGTGCCTGCTGAGTTGGCCCGGCAAGCTGTTGGGTCTTTCCGATCAGATAAACGTGGTAATTACATTCCCAACAATTCACGATATATTTGTATGTATTAAAAAATGCCCTAGAAATGTAAAAACATGTCCCCTGCTGAGAGTCTATTTGGAGTTTACCTTAAAATGGGGGTTTTTAGCACCGACATTTCAAGAAATATCAGGAATGTCAAATTGGGATTTAGTTTTGAAGGCTTTTTTTTCAAAAATTGATTTATTTAAACAAGATAACGAACGAATACGATTACGTGCCATTTCTTGCAAAACTAAATCACACTTCTAATATTTTCGTGAGTCGATTCCCTGAGGGTGCGTTTTCGAGCGATTTATTTTTAAGTGACGCATTTCTGCGCGATTCATGTTCCTCATGGTGATATTACTTTTGCGATTTTTCATCTTTTCCACTGCGCGGCACTTTTCTTCTTATTTTCGCAATTTCCCAGATTGAGTCACGACGACCTATACCTGGTCAAGAGTTGCGCGGCAAACTCACGGAGGAATCCACGACCAACTCGACGTCCAACATCTCGGACGACGGCGATCGGCAGAATATGATCTCGCCGACGAAGAACATCACGCAATTGGAGTGGATTCTGGCGGGCACGGCCATCGATCGCATCGCTTTCGTGTTGTTCTGCTTAATTCTAGCAACAATGGCGATAGTGTGCATAAGTTAGTTCGTTAGACGAATTTTTCTTTTTTCTCTTCCTCCCTCCCTCCCCCCTCTTTTTTTTAATCGTCCTGGTACACATCGATAATCTGAGAGAGAGAGAGAGAGATATATATATATATATATATATATATATATATATACGTACACACGGCATGTGTCAATAAGTCGCAACTTGTCCGATACAGTTTTATTCCCGTATAAATAAACAACTCTCGTAGAATATACAAAATGCAAAGTATACATATATAAACATGTTCTCGATCGGGCGGCATTTATCTTCGGGCACGTTAGGTGTTGGTTAAGAATGCTGACAAACTGTATTAAAAGTTGGCCGAAGGTAATACGTCAAAATGACGTCGTCTCGACGAAAGTTGTCGATTCCAAATTTACGTTGGAAATTCCGGCATTTTCGAGCAACAAAAAATGACGTATATAAGGAGTCAGGTGATAAATGTAAACGTCGAGCACCCAGATGACATCGAAATAATATTGATTTGATCTCTGAACAGAGACTTTGAAAAATATAAAATTTTATGGAAAATGTATACACACAAACTATTGACAAAATATATCAAACTCCCATGAAGACGTCACAGCTTTGTTGTTCAAAAATACTGAAACTTCTTGACTCGGATCCTCAATCGCCAATTTCCAACATTAACGACGTCGAAATGACGTCAGTTCGATGAATCACCTTTGAACGGGGTAGAATTTCTAATTTAGTCGGTTCGAAGGATACGCACGTTGAAAAAGTCAAGGATATGTCTCTATGCGGATGCGGGGTCGAAGCTTCGCGCTTCCACACGAAATTAGCACGGGAATCCGGGAAACGATAAACGCGGTCCTGATTGCCGACAAAAGTACTTTATGCGAAATCATCTCAGCATCGTGTCGAGAATACATTTTAGCTCGCGGTCATTTGTATACATCTTTCGTAAACAAACACGATTAAAGTACATTTATGATATACTATCATATACACACGATACGATATGATATAATACTATATATAAAAAGGTCGTATCAAAAGTGACTCTTCACACGCTCTTCTTGAATCTCGCTCCCGATATTTCGCAAAGTCGCTCGCCCGATCACACTCACACACACACACACACACACACACACACACACACACACGCCGTGCTCTTACATAGCTCGCACGATCGCAAGATCGGTCTGACAGTCTTGGGTAAATCGTTTGGATATGACAAGAGAGATAAGACAAATATACGCGTAGAAAAGCTTAGCACTACTGTAGTAGCTGGTCGTGTATTCACCATTCACGCTGGCGTTAAAAGCAAGAAAAACACAAGATTGATACTTTCTATTATGCTGAAAGAGCGATTCATCCTCCTTCTCCTCCTCCTCTTCCTCCTTTTCTCTTATACGTTAAATGGTTATGTGGTTTGTATAAGTACAGTAAAAGTAGCTATTGATCGTAAAAGCGGAGACAGAGCGGGGGGAAAGGCAAGCGGTGTTCTCTATTTATTGTCGAAATTATGCATTGTATTATTGATAGAAGCGTCTGTGTATCTTCCAGACCACTTTGCTGTGACCGTGGCAGCTTGAGAAAGTGTTTTTTTTTTCCTTCGGGAAACCGTCTCGCGCGGAAAGAACAATATCGTTGGTGTAACTGAATTTGATTTCCCGTTATCTGGCAAGAACAGGGACCAAAGTGGGAAACTCAGAAAGATCCCTCTACGAGGTTTCCCCCATCAGTCAATGCTTTCGGTTGTCTCAACCGAGTCTTAAGCACGGTTGAATGTTCAGACGATCTTGTTCGGTTATGATAACAGACATCATCTTTTGTTCTCTTTCCAAGAGGTAGTATACGCTCTCGAAACTTTGTTGCATAGAAAGAAACAGATATACTGTTGAGGCACAATGGAGCAGAAAAGAGAACTAGTGCAAGGTAGTGCGGGGAATGCAGCGAAAGACAAGCAGACTGAGACACATCATTCCTTGTCACCGAATTCTCATCTGGTCCTTATTCAGTTACACGAACTGCGATATTTCTTTTCTTCTCCATGTATAAACATCAAGCTCCGTCGCGAGACTGACGTTTATCGATAGACGATCGTCGATTCGCAGTTACATTTGATCGCTGTGTTGCGCGTGCTGTTCGATCGGCCCTCGTCAAGCGTAGCTCATGCTGAGTTGGTACAACACGACGTCGCCAGAAATTCGCAAAGTGTCCGTGATTGATGACTGCAGCCTGTGCTTAAACTCACCGATCATCTTGTTGCCTAACCATATCGTATATCCCTCGTACTCGCAACGAATACTGTCGAACAGAAGAATGCTCTTATTTGTCGCCGCTAGATAGAGCTGAAACTTTGTCAGATCAAGGCCCTGTTCTGCATGTGTATCGAATACTAAATAAGCCTTTCAGATTTTCAAGCTGAGATAATTATATGTGACGGTTATATGTGACGATTGTATGAGAAAAACGGAACTTGGAATTAAAAGGGCATATTTGGGCTCATGGAACACATAAAAAGGTAGGAAATAAGTAAATGAACTAATCACCATTGAGTATTCATGGATCATGAGGAAAGTAATCGGAAAACGTTTTTGTAAGTGCCATGTGAACTTTAACGTTTGTTATGCATTCAGAATAAAGTCCTTTGCTGTTGCTACTAAAGAATAAAAGGTTCGTCTAATCCGTAATATTATACTATTTGAAATTTAAGTTTCTAACTTTTGATGAGTCATATTATTTAAAAATATAATGACTACTTGACTCGTCGTGAAATCGGATTCGTGTTATCCAGCGGTGTTATTTTCCAGCAGAACTTTTCCAGTAGATCATCATGTTCAAAAATTTTTACTACAAACCGTCATCGTTTCACTGAAGTTTCCAGGTCGAAATATGATTCAACGACAAGATGACAAGACGACAACGACTTCAAAACAATACGACTCGACAACAGACCTGACAATTTTTCCAAATAATTCTTTCTTTTTCTCTCCAAATTGAGGAATTACGTGCGCCATTAAATATTCTCGAAAATATTATAATTTCTCACACAAGTTAAATAATTAAAGAAAAAATAAACTATTTTTAATATATTAATATTAATTTTTTTGATATAAATAATTTTTAATATTTCTAAGCTATATAATGAAAACAGTTGCCATTCTATTCGCGGTTATAATTTTTTTTTCAGTATCACCAATTTTTAAATAGAAATAACAGCCTTACGTAAGTAGGAAGTCTCGACCAGGCATCCAGGATAAGTGTCCTTGATGTCGTTCCTCGTGTCCCCATGCACCATTGATCCAGCAATTCATGATGACGCACGGCGCAGTATTCCCGTAGAGAAAACGCGGATTTAAATGCAGCGGTATTACAGGATGAGGATAAATGGTCTTGCCTTTCTGTAGATTCACGTAGAACCTGCAAAGAACGCGTAGATGTATCACGTTGCGATGACAGGCTCGGGGAAATACGTAAACGCTAAATTACAATCTCGAACGCTCACGAGTGTGGAAGTAGCTTCAATCTTCCGGTGATAAATAGACGAGCACCGACGCGGAACTCGCTACCGATGTCCACAGTAATGGGAACGTCCTGTAAAAACACAAAACTACGTTATTACATACGACAGCGCATAAATGTTAACTTGTAAATACAATGTTCGTTTACAACATTTTTTTGTACAAGTCTCACGGTTTCGACGATATTCGTTAAATATTGAAATAAAATAAATACTCCTTACTCAGAAACGTTCGATAATATTTTCAAAGTACTTCAAAGAAGATTCGTCCTTTATAATCGGTAAATCCAAACACAAGGATATTGTTACATATCGGATATTTTCCGGAGAGCCTCGTCAAAAGGACTGCGAACTTCCTCTTTGTCACAAAGAAATATCGACAGATCTTACTAGAAAGTCCACGAGTGGCTCTTCGGCTGTCAGGACTAACGTTCGGCACGGTCTGCAGATGCTAGGATCAGGATACACAAATATATTCAGCTGACGGGTTCGGACATCCTCAATGGTCCCGTTAACTTCGAGGGCTGTTATCTCCTCGAGGGGCATTCTGTACGAGAAGGCGCAGAAGTGCTCTCCGTTCACCCCGATCTGCAAACGCACAAGTGGTAATTAGAACTAGGCTCTTAATACTCGGTCAATGTTAACGCGCCCGTAACGACGCTACAAGGACGTTCACGTCGCAGTAGGACATTCCACATGCATCTTACCTGAAACGCATTGTTCGTACAGAAGATCGTGATGTGCGCGTAGGCATTCCGGCGAAAGATGCATCCGCTCGGGCTAGCGGGCGAGCAGGTCTCTTCGTCGTCCCAGGAGCCGCGCACTTTTGTGTTCCTGACAATGTAGCCCCTGTCGAGCCGCGGGTTGAAATGCAGGGCGATGTTGCCGGGCGTCTTGCATGTTAAATTCACCGAAAACCTAAATGCGATTCGATCGGGATGACCATCTCGATGCGCACCGTTCTTAGCAGACGGTTCTTTTCTTATTATTATTATTTTATTACTATTATTATTTTCTTATTATTTCTTACACTGAGAAAAAATAATATCCGAAATAGAGGATATTTATTCGGTGGATATTAAGGGGGTAATAAGATTGTTTATTGAAATCCATACTCGATTCTTTTATTTTTATCCCGACAAAAATTTGTAATCGTGAATTTCAGAAAAAAGTGCGATATTTAAATACTATTTCGGTTATTTTTTATTTAAATACTATTTCGGCTAAAATCATCGTTCATACAGAAATTAATCATTACTGGAAATTAAAATATGTTAGCGATATTCAATTAATGAAACTTTAAAATGAAGAAAATGAAATATTCATTTATTGCCACTAGACGTGCTCTGTAATTAAATCACTAAGAATTACTGAAAGCCAAGAATTCGAGAACTCGAGGTAAGAAATTAATTAAGCTTAATTATCTCACTGGAAATAAATTTTGCAAGAAACAAACTTACATAGAATAAACAACCGCTTTTACGGAAAAGTACGGTTTTAAGAAAAGTCGATGTATGGTACATTTTCTCACTTGATACAAATATTTTTTTCTCAGTCTCTGTCAAAATACGTGTATTAGAGCAAGTAAGTAAGTTGTTAACGTGCCGCCTACCGAATAAATATTTTTCATTTCTCAGATATTTCTTCTCTCAATGTGGGAGAAATAAAAAGAAAGGAAGGGCGAGTACCTCGATGCGTTTTCAGGAATGTATCCAGTGATGATGACGGCGGAGGTCGGCTTAAGTGGATGCAACGGGATCGGCTTGCAGGTATCCTGAAAAAAGAGCACAATAGCGTAGTCGTAAGACTCACATAAAGACTTCTCGTCATCCGAGGATCAATCGTACGTAGATACTCGTCAACGTTCGTACGCAGATCCTCGTCTTCATGGACTCGCCGTGTGACATCCGCTGTTCTCGCCGCGGTATTTAAATGCATTCGACGTCGATACTTAATCCACGATGACCCATGGACTCAATGTGTCTATTTCATTATATACCTACTTAGCTCTCTCAGTGTAACAGTGCTAATAATCATAATCGAATTAGACTGGGTTCACACTGTCTATCTAGACGGACAGGAATCTGCTGTCAAACTTCTTTTGGAATGATTGGGATCCGTCGGAAATATTTCAACGCAAAAGCTTCAAGGGATATTTTTTTCACAACCTGATCGAAAGAACGGAAGTGTATTCCATCCTTTTATAAGTAGAAATATACTCTTTAACTCGTCTCGATGGAGACATTGTTTTCCTGAAGTTTTCCAGGATTAATGCGACAGTATATACAGGGTGTTTCAAACCACCCGGGTTACCCGATTTTTTCGTAAACGCGACATTTTAGAGAAAAATGTTTCAGACAAAAGTTATAGCGTTTAAAAAAATCTATTTATTGATGCTATAAATTGGACGTTAGGATGACCTTGAAAAGCCCAGTCAAGATCGACATAAAAATCTTAAATGGAAACTCCAATTTTTTATTATACCGTCTTTTTCCATCAATTAATTTGAACAACTTTTATCTGAAATACTTTTTTATTTGCCTAATATTTTCTGAGATATTTAAGAATAACTTGGTAACTTTTTTAATATTTAACTTACGATATCTCGCTAACTGTTTGTCGGGATAAAAAATGGTACTAAATTTTTCTATTCTTGGTCTCAAGAATATATTGGTACAATAATGCTCTATTTTTTATTAATTTATCGATCTTTCGAAATCTCAAAATCATCAAATTAACAAAAGTTAGGACGCTATTGTAACAATATATTCTTGAGACCAAGTAGAATAGGAAAGTCTAGTGCCATTTTTTTATTCCGACAAACAGTTAGCGAGATATTGTAAGTTAAAGATTGAAAAAGTTACCTTAAATATCTAAAAAAATATTAGGCAAATCAAAAAATGTTTCAGACAAAAGTTGTTCAAATTAATTGATGGAAAAAGTCGTTGTAATACAAAATTGGAGTTTCCATTTAAGATTTTTATGTTGATCTTGACTGGACTTTTCGAGATCATCCCAAAGTCAAATTTATAGCATCAGTAAATAGATTCTTTGAAACCCTACAACTTTTGTCCGAAACATTTTTCTCTAGAATATCGCGTTTTTGAAAAAATCGGATGACCCAGGTGGTCTGAAACACTTTGTATAAATATATATATATATATATATATATATGATCCTCTCTGTCAGGAAATTCTTCTAAAATGTTACGTTGAATTCCGTTTTTGAACTCGTCGATTGTGTTACGTCGCATACTGCTGTGAACCCGACGGAGATTTCATTGCTATATCGATGACTCATTATCACACAAGAAAGTAGCGCATCGCCCTTGAAATCTTTCTATCGGGTCGGTTGGAATTCGGCCTGATTTGTTACCTGCTTCAACGGGAACGGCATTTGCTGTTATCTGACTAAATTATGCAGATGATTGTAGATAAAGTTTTGGTACCAGTTATAATACTTTCATCTAGATAATACAAATTACGTCATCTTCATCGACATTTCTCTTAAATTGAAAAAACGGTGTTACCGTTAGAAAGTTATCTAAGATGGCGTTCACAGGTAATTTGCTGCAAATGTGTAAAATATTGAAACGTTTGTTTTTACGCCGTTGCGTCTATAATTCTCAAACGAAGAACATAGATAACGTCATCGCTGAGTCCCGCGATATGGATATATAGACGATATAGATGATATCGGTGCCGCGAATTAAACACCGCGAACACTTGCTACAATAAAGACAAACACGCGCTTATCTGAATAATAAAAAGCCGTGTCTCTTGTATTAGCGATGTACAGTAACGTGCATTAATTCGCGCCGCGAGAGGGGAAGCGTCGTTCCCCCACTCCGCTCTGTTATCATTCTCCGCTACTTATCGGAGGTCAGCCGGGTCTAACGCGAAATATAAACAAACGTAAGCATGATGTCTCCTACTTGTTTGAGTCTGTTAGTAAAAGCTTTTCTACAATATTTTGGAAACACACATCGGCCTTATAGAGACATCTACTGTTTAGATTTACGGTTGTAATAAATTTCTGATCATAAACTGTAAGAGATAAGACTTCAGGTTCAAGATTCAAGGTTCAAAGTTTAATATACTCATATCTATCGCTAGACACAAAAGCCATCATACAATTATAGATTAGGTCATTCTGAACAAAAAGTCTTTTACCATCTGGCAAATAAGTGTGCAAATTCTCAAGTTATCAATTAAAATAACTTCTAGATGTGGTCATTTTCCAATCATTGATAACTTAATAACTATTACGATTTTTGCAAAATAGTACTTGACTTTTCTTCTTAGTTTGATCTGATTAATCTTCGCAATTTTTCGTTTCCAAAAGATCTCGGACACTCTGTATATTGCAACTGTTACTTTTTTAGAACAAGAAATATAGTTGGATAGACAAAAAAATATAGTTGGAGTAAAAAATTACAATTTTAGTAAAACATTAATTATATTTCTTTTTCAGTATACTTTCACTCAAAATGGAAGAGTGAATCTGTACATTCGTGGACAGGCCCGTAATCTTTCATGTTAGTTTCTAAATCCAAAATTTGTCAAATTTTTCCGATCAAACGCGAAAACGTGGTGGGACGAAAAACAATTAGGACGCTCTCTATAATGTCAAGATAGGATATTTCAAAGAAGTCTCGATTATGTTTCTGATCGTCGACTCTGATCGTCGACATTGATGTAAATTGTATGTGAGTGTATAGAAGCACAATAAACCGTAATTCCGTATCTCGAGAGGAAAATGATTTATCACATGCCAAACGAGTGATACATCTGCAACGAGAGCAACTGTACTGAGAGCTCATAAAAATATTGCGAGCCTCAGTCTAATTCGACTCTTCCAATGAAGTTAAAAGAACATCATTAGCTAATTCAGCCTTAGCTAGAATCTTCTGCAAATTAGAGCCATTCCATGATAATATATGTCAAGGTTATTGAAATCGGTGAAGGCGTCGTTAATATTAATATTTACCCAAAAGAATTTAATTTTTAATTGAAACAACGACATGGGCAAAATACTGATATTGCAAAATCGATGTTTTGCAACGAGTATCGATACTAATTTTCAATATTAATGTCGATGTCAAATTTCGATGCTATTTTTATCAATTCATGTGGAATTCTACTGTTACCATTCGATTCACGAAGATTCCTTCTCATCGTCGATGTCTCGACGCGCGAATGTTTGAATGTGTCACATTTTCATTGACATCGGGGCAAGGGTCTCAGCAAAATGGCTGACACTTGTCAGTGAGAGATAATTAATACTCTTCGTCTCTTAAGTCACGCACAAGACAGCCTTATGTCTGAAATCTTAAACTGAAAAGCCGTTCTGTTTGCGATCGATGACAAACCGCTGTAAAACAGAAAATTGTTATCAACTTTATCTTTATAATCTTTATAATCTTTATATCTTTCAAATAACATACCTATGGCGTAATATACGTGTGGCATAATGTTAATTAAATTTTCTTTCTATTTGTTAATAATTTCCATTTGTATTGCTAATTTCCCTTCTATTTGTTATTAATCTTTATTTGAATTATTAATTTCTATTTAAATTCTATTTGAATTTGTTATTAATTTTTATTTGCTATTTCTTTCTATTTGTTACTAATGAACGTAATATAACGTAATTTTATAAATATAAAATTAAATATTTAATAAATAAATATTTAATTTAGTCTCAACTCTTTCCTAAAAATGCAACAAATTATATTTATCACGAGATATAAATATTTATGAAGCGTTTATCTGCTATTACATATGTACGTTTATTTCTTGTAAACATTAACGCTGCATGTAATTTAAGATCTGAGATAATATTGTGATAATATTGAGATAATATCACTATATAATATTGTGCGTTGAGCAAGGCAAAGGCTTAAGGCCATTGCACGTACAAAAGTTTTAGTCGTAACCGTAAGTCCGTAAGCAAATTGACCAATCACAATTCGTATATTTCGAGATGCTGGATTGTGTTTGGTCAATTTGCTTACGGTCTTACGGTTACGACTAAAATTTTTTTACGTGCAATGGCCTTTAGTCTTAGCGTGTAAAATAGTTATGAAATGACAAGTCAGCCAAGTAGGCAGTTCCTGCCAAGTCCCTAAGAGCCAATCGACACATTCCTGCAAAGCAATCGCCTATCGCACGACACATGTAAAGCGCGGAATACATAGACTATAGACACGACATATGAAAGATGAGACATATTGAGATGAGCCGATCGCGACCGATGTTATGCGTTCAGATGCTTTTAAAATTAGTCAGATGACGATAAAGCATGTAAATACCTTTCAGCACTTTGTCCCAATTATAGACAAGTCGCTTACAATCTCCAAACGCTTACAGTCCCAATGCCGTCTAACACATGGAGTACTAACGTAAATCTACGAAAACAAGTGTTTCAATATTTTACACATTTGCAGTGACGTGCTCTAAATTATCCGCAAACGTCATCTTAGATAATCTCGCCAAGATGACACTTTTCCCAATTCAAGATGCAGATGAAGATAATGTATGTTCACATGATCTCTCTCTAAATAAGAATCTCGAATAAGAGGCTCGGTTGTCAGAACTGTATCTGAGAATTTAATCGAGAATGTAAAATAAAAATGTATTTATTTATTTATTTATTATATCCTCTTATACTTTTATGTTTATAAACTTATATATTTATGTAACGTATCCATACAATATATTATTTTTATTATATAAGTCGTATATTTCATAGGAATTGATAATTATCAATTATACGAATTTAGCCAGATTATATATCAATTATATTTTAAATGTCAGTAATAAAATTTTTAAGACATTTACTATGGCAGAGAATGATTAGAGATGTTTAATCTCATATGAATGATTAATGATATATGCCTAGTATCGCATATTATTTATAACCTGTAATCTGTAATCTTGTCAATTGATAATTAATTGATAATTGATTGAAGTATTTTTAATAACAGACGTATAAAGTAGGAGATATTAATTAACGATTTCTATCTATTTTACATTCTCGATCAGCATGATCACCTGCATAATCTTAGCTAGGTAAGAGGAAACACTGATCACGCGACCGTGCGGGCAAAATCGTGATCGCGAGTCGGCAAAATGACAAGCGCCGTGAGCGAGCATCATCCGTTCATCGAGCTCATCATCAGCGCGTGTCGCGCAGAGAGAAGAATCGCGACCTTGGCTACGACGACAGACAGGGGGGGAGAGAGAGAGGAGAGGCAGGGAGAAGTGGTGTCACTGGTACTCACCACGGGCACGGTCTCTTCGTCAAAATAGGAGAAGTCCTTGAACGCCTCCTCTCTGGCCAGGGTGAGGATGTCATTGGACGAGGATGACATGCTGGCCCCGAGGGTTCACTCGGCGGGGGTGAGGACGATCAGGCGACAACGACACTTCCTCCTCGTGCACGACGTGCGCGCAGCCAGCATCGCACTGCGTCCGTACGTGAACGTGCGCGACGGCACTCTCACGAGCCGCCTTTGCCGTCCGTCCGCGTCTCTATCTTCATCGTCTATTCTCGTCCGCTTCCACCACCTACTCCTACGTGCGAGAGACTAGACCAGACCGACCAGGTGCAGATTGCGCCTGCGTGCAATCGCAAGCGGGAATATATACTCGCGTTATGTACAAGGTGACAACTGCAACGAGCACAACCTGCAGCCGACGGAGCGGTCGATTCCTCATCGATCGTTCTTCGGATCGTTCTCTGCCTCCCAGCGTCATCAGTGCTGAATTGACTCTGACATGGTAGATAAAACGTGGTAGATAAGACGTGACGCAAAATAGGTTTGTTGATAGCGACTTGATCGGGGACGCTCACTGTTTACTTAATTATTCATGTTAGATCTGCGACAACGTGAGCGTGAAGCACCGACTTTTTATTGAGTGATCACAAATCGACTTTTTCGTATGATAACAAGGCGGCAGATTAGAGGAAATATGTAAACAGACGTATAGTTATTAAGAATTCAATCGAGAGTGTAAAAAGTATATTTATTTATTTATTTATTTATTTATTTATTTATTTATTATATCCTCTTATACTTATATGTTTATAAATCTATATATTTATATATTTATGTACGTATCCACACAATATATTATCTTTATTATATAAATCATATATTTCATAGGAATTGATAACATATATTATATATTTCTTTTTCATCCATTATCTCTAATAAATTATATGTAAATATAAATATCAAAATTACAAACTCACAATAAATCGTTAATTAATATCTTCTATTTGTACGTCTGTTATTAAAGATACTATGAAATTAATTATCAATTGACAAATTAATTACAGATTATAAATAATATACAATATTAGGCATAAAACGTATATCATTAATCATTCATATGAGATTAAACATCTCTAATCATTCTCTATCATAGTAAATGTCTTAAAAATTTTATTACTGATATTTAAAATATAATTGATATAAAGGGTGTCCCAAAATTCACGCAAGAAGTAATTTTAATAGAAAACACAGGTTTATAATTAAAAATTGTAAATTCTTCTAAAAACAGTATAGGGTACAGTATAGTTATGTATGAAATAGCATATCGGATAAACGGCTACAGCGAAGAGAGTTCGTTGAATGGATTATGGAACAACAACAAGTGGATGCTGATTTTTCGAACAAAATCATCTTCAGCGATGAGGCTCATTTTCATCTTGATGGCTTAGTTAATCGACAAAATTGTCGCATTTGGGGTTCAGAAAATCCACGAGTGATTGTTGAGAAACAAATGCATCCACAATATGTCACTGTTTGGTGAGAATTTTGGGCTGGAGGCATCATCGGACCATTCTTCTTCGAAAATGCGGCTGATCAGGCAATAACAGTTAATGGTGCTCGCTATCGCGACATGACATGATAAACCAGTTTTTTGTGCCTAAATTGCAAAATATGGATGTGGACGACATGTGGTTTCAACAAGACAGTGCCACATGCCATACAGCCCGAGAAACAATTCAATTACTGCATGAGTCATTTCCCGGTCGTGTAATTTCCCGATTTGGCGATCAGATTTGCCGCCCAGATCATGCGATTTAACGCCGTTGGACTTTTCTCTTTGGGGTTTTTTGAAGTCTATGGTTTATGCCAACAAGCCCACGACCACCCACGCCTTGAAGGAGGAAATTGAGCGCTGTATCAACGAAATTTAGCCACATTTATGCAAAACGATCATAGAAAATTTCAACAAAAGAGTACATATATGCCAGCAAAGCCGTGGAGGCCATTTACGCGATATGCTATTCCATACATAACCCTATACTGTATACTTTATGAATCAATAAAAAATGTACAATTTTTAATTATAAACCTGTGTTTTCTATCAAAATTACCTCTTGCGTGAATTTTGGGACACCCTTTATAATCTGACTAAATTCGAAAATCAATAGTATACAGAGAGTGTGTGTGTGCCTGCGTAGAGATGTGTCGTGTTTTCCTTTTAAAATTGAACAAAGATAACGACGAATAATAAAAATATAAACACAATTGTTGATTTCCACCGATAAGATTGATATTTATACAGTTACATGAGTTTCTGACACGCGGAGAGACGAGTAGCAATTTATATTTAGTGGAAATAAACGTTAGATGAAGGTATGTGAACAGATGTGTTTTATTACATAAAACACATTTTTATACAAAAATTAATCGATTTATTTTTAAACAAGAAATATTAATAAATATATAATATCAACGTATATGTGATATAATCACTGATATAATAATAATACCAATATTAAAATCAAGATATCAAATAACTTTCATAATAGAGAATTCAATAGCACACCGAATATTTTATTACAAGTATCTTCCGACGTGAAAGATATTGAAGAGAAATTTCAAAGAGATATGGCTTTTTGTAAACATAGTCTGCTATTGATAATAATACTTATAGTAGTTGACATATTATTCTGCATTAAAATTGGACAGATATATAAAAAAGAATACATTGAATTGTATCGACTCTTTGAGAACATGCATATAAAAGCGTTAGGAGTGAAGATATTGTTGATTCTGATGTATGCTATACACGGCTTATATATACGTTTGTAAGTATCAAATCATCAATATTTATGTGATATAATCAATATTATAGTTTTTCTCACCTTATTTTCCGCTTATTTTAATTAATTTATACATGCACACATGTACATATATTTTAAAGCATTTCTTCTCCATATATATATATATATATATATATATATATATATATACATACACATTTCTCTATGATACAATATTAAATTTTATTGGAACTAATAAGAATTTAATAGCTCGTAGTTACTAAGAAATTGTCAATAGATTCGAACGTCTTGGAGAGATTTTTAAAACCTTAAAAGCTCATCTTACTATATTATACGTAATTAGTTGCATTAGCTATTTTATACATCTAATCCTGTAATTAATATAATTATATATAGCACTAGAACATAATTATATACAGGACGTCCAGTAATTTACACCCACTAGAGCGCTATTTCTCATGAAAAATTGAGTCAAAAAATCCTAGATTATTTTTTTTCCACGTTACTTAGTACGGTAATAATTAATAAGTAAAATCAATTAGCACTGAATCTCGTTAGCCTAACGTAATTAATTAAATCTGATACTAAACATGATGTAAACAAAACTCATGAATGATTTCTGTTTGTCTTATCGGAAAGCTTAATTAGATTAAATTGATCAAAGAATATCTTTTATTTACGAAGCATTGCAAATTCCTTAGATGAAAGCACAATTAAACTGTTAACTCCTAACTTGAGATAACAATTCAGACATGAAATTATTACCTGAGAAAAGATTTTTAATGTGAAAAAGATTATGTTTATCCCAAAGGTTAATTATCGATTATTATGCAAACTGAATCGCACAGGCAACCAAAACGATCGGACATTGTTGAGGCAGCTTATTTTCACGTATTAATATAATACACGCTATTCACGAATGTGCATCTACATTAAAAGGTGGTGCTGTGTGATTGAAAATGACATAATAATTACTATCTTATTAAGCATCATGGAAAACAATTTCTTAGAACTAAATTTTTCTCGAACTATTTTTTTACAAGAGAAAACGCTGTGCAAGTAGTGCTGTGTGCATGTAAATTATTATTAACAGTAAATTGCTAATAATTAGCAATTATTATTTGAATATAGGTATGGTAATCGTCCTTATTATAGAATACGGTCGCATTGATAAATGTACATAAAAGATTCTAAAATAACAGAGAGAATATCAAATGTGGAGGTGAGTAAAAGAAAGTTGAAGATAAAACACATTAAGCATGCATACAGCGTGTCTCATTTTAATGTCCCACCCCAAATAACTCTTCAGTATTGAAATTTCAAAGAAAATGATCTGAATAAAAGTTATTGGGATTTAGGTGAGCTACATTATGATGACCTTGACTTTGACCTTGACCTCTATTTTCAAGATCATTTGAAGGTCAACTTGCGTTTTTTAAATGGGAACCCTTATTTTTCCCTTTAAATTTTTTATTACACTGTTTTTGTTCTACTAGTTAATTTGAACAACTTTTGTCTAAAACATTTTTTTATTTGTCTAATATTTTTTGAGATGTTTGAGGAAAACTTAATAACTTTTTCAATATTTAACTTACGATATCGCGCTATTTGTCGGAAAAAAGTGGTACTAGATTTTCTTGTTTTATTTAGTCTCAAGAATATATTGTTGCAATAGCGCCTTGACTTTTGTTAACTTACTGATTTTTGGAAATTTCAAATCACAACT